TTTCACGATTATTTAAGCCCTAAGGCTTGCCTAAGTGCGTATATGCAGTCACATTCTGAAAAAAGACATTTTTGAAGTCCTTATCCTATAGGCATGCTTTCTATTAATTAACTAACACAAATGTTGAGGACTATTGAAGAAACGAGTAAGATAATTGATTAACTGATTCAGAACCTATAGGCATGATTTCTAATTAAACTGGTTTAGATCCTATAAGCATGATTTCTACGATTAAGGCTGATTTCAAATCCTATAAGCATGATTTCTATGCTTAAAGCTGATTTTTTAATCCTATAGGCATGATGTCTAATTATATATAACGTGAAGTAAGCAGAATTTATTTAACTCATTCCCTGCTAATTTTTTTTACAGAGACAGCAGTTGACGCGGGCGAGGATTTCGTTAATTAGAGCGCACAGGTTGATAGTTCTTGGTGAGCCTCGCACTTGTTCGCGTGGGCGGAGATTTTATTATATTGTTATACTCTTTTCTTTGAACTCTTAGAGTCGCTCCATAGTAATTAATTTAGTGTGTCATGAGTATTCTTTTTGTTATTTTAGCCTTATGTTGAGTATCGTTCTCATTTATCAAAGTTGGAGATAAATTAGTATTTCTAGTGGTTACTTGGTGGTTTAGTTATGGTGGAGACTTGTATTGGTTAATTGACAAGTTGTCAATTGTTTGGTATGATATTATGATGTTTGGTTGCTGATTTGAGACAGGGAAATTTTTGGGATAGTCCAAAAACAGGGGAAACTCTGTCCGATTTTCTGTAAAATACCGATGAGGCTTACTTGGGGGCACTTGCTCAGGTGCCGGTCATGATCCTAAATTGGGTCGTGACACCAAGCCCAGCCTCGGTCAGGCCTCAAGGACCAGCAGACTGACTTGGATCGGGCTTATAAGCCTCAATTTTAAATGAGTTCAAAAAATCCTAGCCCAACCCTACCTAAGAAGCGGGCTAGATTGGGCTGGCCTCCCAGGCCAACCCATTTTGACGGCTTTACTCCTTAATATGAGTTGCTAATCTAGTTAATTGTTCATAAATTTACGTCCTAATTTTCGTTGGCCCGTAACAGAGTAGTTAGTCATTGTTTTCTTCCATTTTCTTTTGGACTTCCAAAAAATATTTCGTGTGTTATTTTTTGGGTGTGTCAATTAGTTGCCTAGCTAGATTCTTTTAATATCTTATTCGAACAACTTTAAAACTTCACAAGGATTAGATAAGATAAATGCTGTAATTAAATACAGAGAATAAAGGGGTCTCTAGCCCTTTTCCTTAATTATTTGCGGGGCGGAGGTAGAGAGTCAAGTGCGGGTTCGGGCGAACCCAGCAGCTTTGGTTGGAACTATATATTTGTCTTAAAAAATTCATTGAATATGTATAAATTATTATTTTAGAACTCAGTATCTTAAAACAATTAAGATCTCGAATCCATAAACTTGAAATTTTGGCTCCGCCTCTTACTATTTGTATCTTAAATATGAAAGAAACCTACTTACTCTATATGCGAGCCTTTATAATTGGATATAAGTGGAGCTTAACAAGAGAAATGTGTTGAAAGACGGTAAGAACATGAGGTGCTGCTATACTGCATCGTAAAAAGACAGCATTTTAGTATTTGTTACGCAACTACTAAAAAACAGCCGTTTACCGGCGCAGCAGTACCGACGGACTTTTTTCCGACGCTATTCCGAAGAACTTTCCGACGGAGTCCCTCAGTACTTTTGAACTTTTTAATTTCCTTTTTTTTAAAAAAAAAATAACCGACGGATAACTCTCGATAAATAATAATACTTTGACCGGTCAAAATTTAATTGGTTGTACCGATGCACTTCGTCGGTAATTTACCGACGGACTCCCTCAAAACATTTTGTATTTATTTTTTTGAATTATTTTTTTAGGTACCGACGGTGTCTCTCGGTGCTTTTAAAAAATAAAATAAAAAAGAAAATAAAATTATCGACGTGCTCAATCCTATTGCATTTACATAATATTTTGATTTTTTTTCTTACAGTACCGATGGACGCCCGTCGGTAAATTAAATATATAATCTTATAGATAATTATTTTGTATTTTTTATTACACAATACCGAGGGAGGCCGTCGGTAAGTCCCTCGGTAAGTATTTACTTAATTATTTTAGTGGTTGATTGGCCTATTTATTGAAATTTACACTAAGTGGAGGCAATACCCTACTTAAAAATATATTAGTGGTAACTAGCTTAGTAATTTATAATTACACAAAGTAAAAGTGAATTTGTAGTATCCTTAACTACATTGATTAACCTATACATTAATAATTACACACTAAGAAGAAGTATATTAGTCGTTTCCGTAAGAAATATTAGTGATGGTTTATCATATAAATTGATAATTACTGTAAGTAGAAGTGTACTAATGGTGTCCTTAAGTAACGTTAACAATTGATTATCATACACATTGATAATATACTAAGCAAAAGTGTATTAGTTGTATTTAGCTTGTAGATTGATAATTACACAAAGTATAAGTGTATTAATAATATATATGTAAGTAATGTTGGCGATTGATTAGCCTATATACATTACTAATAACACTAAGTATTAGTGAACTAATGACATCCTTATATAAGTAGCGTTAGTGATCGATTAGCCGACACATTGATAATTATACACTAAATGGAAGTGTATTAATGCTATTTGTGCGAAATATTTGTGATTATTTATCTTTAGTTTGATATTAAAGTAAGTAGAGGTTTATTAGTGGTATCCTTAAGTAATATTAGTGGTATCCTGAAGTAACGCTAGTGATTCATTAGCCTATACATTGATAATTATACTAATTAAGTAAAAGTGTATTAGTATAGTCTTAAAAACTATTACTGATTGATTAGCCTATGCATAAAGAATTACACTAAGTAGAAGTGTATTAGTAATATCAGTAAGAAATTTTAGCGATTGATTAACTTATAAATTGATAATTACATAAAGTAGATGGATATTAGTGGTATGCTTAAGTAATATTAATGATTGATTATCCTATCTATTAGTAATTATACTGATTCAGTAAAAGTTTATGAGTAGTAGCCTTAAGAACTATTACTAATTGATTAGCTTATACATTGAGAATTACACTAAGCAGAAGTATATTAGCAATATCAGTAAGAAATGTTAGCGATTAATTTGCTTATAAATTGATAATTACAAAAAGTAGAAACGTATTAGTGGTATCCTTACTCTCAGCAGAAGTGTGTTAGAAATATAGCAGTAAGAAATTTTACGATTGATTAGCTTATAAATGGATAATTACAGAAAGTAGATGCGTATTAGTGGTATCCAATATTTTAAAAGGCGAGGGCGTAAGGTGAGGCGTTTTACCTCTGACGAGGCGAAACGTAAGCCCTGAGACATGGTGCGTAAGTCCCACAGATCTTTAAATTTTACTAATTTCAAGAATTTTAAGACAGTATAAAATAAAAAATAATTGTAACAATTACATCAAAATCACAAAATTATAACAAATAATCTATTTAAAATATTTACAAATTATGATTCGACTATGAATAATACGAAAAGGATGACATATATCATAATATGCAAATTAGTTGCAATGTCGTTACAACTCAAACATCAAAAGTAATGTATTCAATATGAAATCTTATATGTATCTCTTAAGGATTAATAAATATTGAAAGAATATCAATATTAAAATTTGATATTTTACTTAAAATACTCCTTTTATTTAATATGCTTTTTATTTGAAAGAGAACTTATATAAAAACATAATTCACAATTTAAATATGATTCTCTAACATCATTTATTTTTAAGTTTCAACAAGTTAATAAACTGACACATAATTCACCATACAATATCATGATAACTAATTATTTGTAAATAGTTAATAGCTAATACTGAGATATTAAATTAATAAGTATTGTATCTCGTAAACGTAAAAAAAATATTTAGAAAAATAATTATAAAAAAAATTATGGACTATTATATAGTAAATACATAACAAAAGTTAATAAATAAATACTTTTGAAATGAAAGATTTGTTTAAAATTTACTGCAGTCTTAGTGGATAACGCGCAATAGTTTTTATTTTAATTATGACTTAAAATACTCTCAACTTAATGATTTATAATTAAGAAAAAAGTAATTTTGAATAGTCAACGATTTGTTAAGAAAATTTGAGGATTTACAAGGTTAGTTACATACAATTGCATAAAGTTCTATTAGGCAAGCCCAGTACCCTGGGCGTTGGCTTATCCGGGGCGTAAGCCCCGGTGACCGAGGCGTAAGTCTCACGGAACTAAGCCCCACACATAAGCCTAGGGGTGTTATACGAGTGCTCCGCCCCCGTGCGAGTCCCAATTCTGCCATTTAAAACAGAGGTGGTATCCTCAAGTAATAGTAATAATTGATTAGCCCATGTATTAATAATTAAACTAATTAAGTAGAAGTGTATTAATAGTATTCTTAAGAACTATTACTGATTGATTAGCTTATACATTGAGAATTACACTAAGTAAAAGTGTATTAGTAATACCAATAAGAAAAATTAGTTATCGATCAGCCTATACATTAAAAATTCTACTAAGTAGAAGTGTATT